AAAGGGAGCGGTCTGCAGGAGAAACATCATCTGCTGCTGCTCTGGACAAGTTCACTGAGTCATCAGACTCAAATTCTCTCCACCAGGATGGCATAAAAGAGCATCTTGTGATGCTGCTTCAGCATGCATCAAGAAAAAAGATTTGCAAGCATGAAGTGATGATCACAAAACTAGCAGCGTCCATTGCATTTCTTTAGAGGACACATCTGGCGAAGCTGATGACTTCACAACCCTTGCTTTTTCAAAGAAGTTCTGGAGAATTGTCCAAAGCCATCCATTTCTATCCATTCAGTAGGTTAATGATGACATCTGTGTTGCCATTGACAAAGAGCCCTTTAAAAAGGACATAATAGCAATGAGAGAACATCACAGAGTTTTTGAAGCTGACATGATGAAAAGTTCCCTTCAGCAGCTCAGCCTCTGTGGTTTCACCAAAGTACAACGCTATGCCAAAATATCTGACTCACTTGATAAGGTTCTGACAGAAGGAGCAGCACCTTCTGCTCATAGCAAGGCACAGCCCTTCCCCTGCACATGAACGAACTCTCAGAATGACACTGGCACAAGAGCTTCACCATCTAGTAACATGAGCCTTGGCAGTGGAGGAGAGGAGGAGGTGAGCAGGAAATGCTCAGAGGTTCATTTTTTCTCAGGTCATTTCTCAGGTGAGAACACAAGGGTGGCCGTTAATTAATAAACAGTAGCATAACCTTGTGGTCAGCCTAAGTTTTAAATGCTCAGTAGACCTTTTGAAGACCCAATGTTGGTGTTCTGCCATTACAAAGCTCGCTTCTCTTATCACTTTTTCACTGTGAGAGGGACTGACAAGCCTGTCCACAAAAATTGTAGTTTCTTACGCCTTGGAGATATACAAAAGATGTCTGGACGTGGTCTTGGGCAACCAACTCTGAGTGTCCTTGATTGACCAAGGAGGTTGGACCAGATGAAATCCAGAGGTCCCTCCCAGCCTCAGCCATTCTGTGATTCTGTGATTCTCAGAGATTACATTTTGTCTTACAGAGAGGCATGCTGCCTCTCTCCAATTCAGGCATTTCTAGCAAGAGTCCTTCTTAAGCCAGGACTTCATACACAGTAGTTTGGGTTATGATGGTTACATTCAGATCCTGCGCCTATTTTGTGATGTTCAAAAATGCTGAATCTTAGTAATATGCAATGATAATATCATCATAGAATCACAGAATCATTTGAGTTTGAAGGGACCTTAAAGCCCATCTAGTTCCACCCCTCCTGCCATGGGCAGGGACACATTCCACTAGACCAGGTTGCTCAAAGCCTTATCCAGCCTGTCCTTGAACACTTCCAGGGATGAGGCATCCACAGCTTCTCTGGGCAACCTCTTCCAGTGCCTCACTACCCTCTCTGGGAAGAACTTCTTCCTGATATCTAATCTAAACTTCCCCACTTTCAACTTAAAACTGCTACCCCTCGTCCTGTCACTACAGGGCCTCATAAAAAGTCCCCCCCAGCTTCCTTGTAGCCCCTTCAGGTACTGGAAGGTGCTATAAGGTCTCCCCGAAGCCTTCTCCAGGCTGAACATCCCAACTCCCTCAGCCTGTCTTCATAAGAGAGAGAGATATGAATAACATTGTGTTTGAAGGATGATCAGAAAGATGTGACTTGGAGTTCACAGGAGCTTTCCTGAAAGGTTCTGTGTCATCCCTAATATGTGTTATCCTGCCACCAGCTTTGGCAGCACAGGCCGGGATGGTGTCTGCTGTCCTGTAACCTTGCAGCCAGGAGACTGTGTCCCTCATCTGGTGTGTCCAGTGTTAAACAAGCTCTAGGTGCTGAATCCCTGTGAACACAGTGAGGAAAAAAGCCAGAGCTGTCAGACAGGGCTCTTTTGTGTCACACTGCTAAACAGAGGAAATCTGTATTTTATAGAGAACCTGTCCTTTCCCTTCTTAATGGAAATATAAAACTTCTGGGACTAACCTCATATATTCTATAAAGGGTGGATTGAGCCCAAGTGCAGATTGCCTGTCACTTCCATAATTATTACACTTATAGGAACAGCTTTTCATCTCTAGAGATTTTTCCCTGAGTCCGGCAGAGCACCTCTACGATGTCCTAAACTTGGCACTGACAAATAGTGTCACCAGTATGTGACTGGACATAAAAGCTATCTAAATACTGTAATCTCTTCTCATCCCACAATAGCACAGCACACATGCATCTGTTCTGCTGTCTGTCATGAATCATAGTGCCTGACAAGTAAGGGTAAAAGGCTTCATAACACTTCATGCAAGGAGATAGGGTTAGGGGTATTTTACCCATAGGGGAACTATGAATTTATACTTCTGAGGCTGTGAGCTCTTCCAGCCATGTAGTGGCAGCTATGGGAAAGGTTTTCCATTTTTAAAAAAAACATGATGTGCATAACTCACAGATTTTCTTATTAGATTTCTTTCATTATACATGAGTAGTAATTCTTACCTGGGATTCAGTTTAAGTTTTATATGTGAAGCAATGATTAAATAGATTAACATTTAGTGATTTGGTAGTTATGAAGGGTTTCAAAACTGACTCTGCTGAAGTTCTAATAGTAGTCTTCCTTTGGAGATAGGCTTCCAATACTTAAATTAATCTTGCAGTCAATAAAAGAAAAAACTACACACTTCTGTTAAATTATTAACTCTTAACATCAGGAAGTCATACATACTAATACTGTGCACTACTTTTGCAGCAAGAAAAAAGTAGGGTATTTCTTCAAGGGAACGTTGAATTTATGTCATGATTTGTTCCTCTAAACATTACATTCATTCAAGGAAGCTTTCAACAGTCATATTATCTCAAATTTTAAACCAATGTTGTAACTTTTTGAAGGCAACACTGCAGTCTAAACCAGATGCAGCAACAGGTTGCCTTGTGATGGGCAGTTGCATTTATAAAGATCTGGATAGCCACTAAGTTATTCTCTTTAAAAATCTCATACTTCCTTTGACACCAATGAAGGCATTAAATGATATCAGAGGTCAAATATGCTTCAAGCTTTGCTGCTGAATTTTAATTTTCTCATTAGGACTTTGTATGTTATTCCTACAGTTGTTTTGTTTTTCTTCCACAAAACGTCTCCATTCCTCAATAACCACATCAGTTTTTTCCAATTTATTGTTTTCCCACTATGCTTTTTAGGTTGGGTCATGTCATATGTAATATATCATTGTTTTTCCCAGTTGAATGGCATTCTGCTTACTCATGTGATTTTCTTAATCACATAAGAAAGACCACATGTGTGGCCTTTTTTTTTTTTTAATTTATTTTTATTCATGGAGTGTAATTTACTGAGATGAAATCTAGAGGATGACCAAAGAGGTTTCAGTAGTGCAGAGCATAGGTCAGTTGAAAATCAAAGCATTGTTCTTAGTTTTGGATTCCTTTTTTCCTAGATTATTTCTGATGAGTACATGTTCAATTTACTGGATATATATATGGCCTTTCCACTTATCTTTATTTTGTGTACGTGGAAATTATTTGGGTGGTTTTGATAGCGATATAGTTTCAGTAATAACTTACAATAACATTGGCAGTTTATCCTTGATATGAAGGAGAATAAGAGTAGATTAATAAGCAGCAAGGCCATCCAAATCCCAGTATCATCAAAATAAATAGCCATTATTTTCCATTTTCCTCTGTATTTCATAGGACAGATATGGGTATATAACTCATGTGGGTTACAAACCTCTGTTTTGCCTGGCTGTCACACCATGTAAGACAGCATAAGTATTTCTTGTTATATATGTGACAATAAGCAAATTTTGCAGGTACTGTAGAGAGCTTTTCCTCAAGATATGGTAATGATACAGAAAATAATGGTCTTAATGAAAAAATGCACATGTACAGTAATGTGTGTTATTTTTCAAATAGAAACACAGCCTTTCAAGACAAAAATTGTGTGGTCTTTGAAATCCATCCTAGATAAAACTGTACATCGCTATAGCCAAAGTATGTAAATAAATTCATAGCTGGTTTTTCTTTGAAAATGGAATAAAATAGCAAGATTACAGAATGTGGAACAAATTACTGGAAGCATGGAGATAAATCAATTATTCACCATTTATTACAAAATAAAATAGCTCAACAATTCATAAATAAAAGGTATGCTAAATGCCTAAACTGTAGCTATTACATGCAGGTTTATTTCTGCCTTTATTACATTTTGCTTTTAATAGAGGCCTTTAAAATAGAAGGAATATTTTTATGTTTAAAATCTACTGGGGAAAAAAATTCAATTCCATTTTTGCTGATTTCATGCACCTGAGATTTCATTCTTCCATAAAATTTCTCTGGGATAATGAAAATTTTTCACATAGTGTCATACAAATGTTTGAAAAGCCACTTCTGTGTGAAATGTCGTGCTCTACAGTTCTGATCAGACACTTAAGAGGAATTGTGGCCACATTTTGAATTTGTCTTTTGAAGGAAGATATCAGTAAAAGTGAAGAAAAGATCATTATCAAGACCAGCTGGATGTTGTAATGCTGTTATGTATTTCTAATTTGCTACAGGACTGAAAAAATAAAAAATCATTCTTTCTTAAAGAAAGGAAACAGTGTTCCTGAAACTCCAAGGGAGCCTTAATGTATGACATATTTGTGAAGGGAGTGAGATGATTTCACAGAGCCTTGTCTGCTGATAGATCATCTGCCACAGTGCGAGCTGCTGATAAATTCCTCCGGTTGGAGAAAGATAGGGACGTACTGTGATTTCAGTTGAGAAAGAGGAAATGGACCCTGGCTTTCATTTCTAAGGATTTTACTTTTAGATATGTCTTCAAAGAGCTGATTCCTTACTCCTGTTTCTGAGATGAGAATTTCTGCTTTGTATTGTGTGTGGGAGGGATGCTGCAACTCTTAAGGCAAAATCCTCATTCCGCACTGGTCCCTTTTCTTAAGGATGAGAGAGCCAGAACACCATGAAAAGATCCTAAAACATCTCTTTCTGGATTGCGGGGAGTTCCTTTAGGTGTGTAAGCTCTAGTGAACAGGGCTTGCTTGGAGTCAGGTAGCCAGCGGAGAGGGCAGTGCTGCTTCTGCCAGGCAGCTCAGCGGGTGATGGTATGTATAGTCTGTTGGAAGACAAACATGTCCCTAGGGCTGTTGTAGATGTGCTGAGGACCTCTCCAGTCCCTGGACCAGCAAAAACGTGGTTGAAAGCTGCTCTCCTGTTTGACCCCTCCCTTGGCTGCAAGCTCTGTTCTATACCTCTACAGGACATCGTTGCGGAGCTCAACTCTCCAACCTGTGCAACAGCCACCTTTAAGTGACTGCAGGAATTCAAGAATTTTGCATGCACAGAACTGTTTGTCGGGTTGAAGGCAGGAAGTGGGGTGCAGTCCGTGATGAAATATCGGAACAAACAACATGCACAAATTACTAGCCTGGGAAACTCCAAATGCTGTATGAATCAGTACTTTAGAACAAATAGCTCTTCCTGCAATCTCAGTTCCTTATC